CCTCGAACTGAAAACTTACACTCACTATTTTCTTCGAAAATATACGTAAGTTACACAAAACAGACTTTTGGGAGCAATCAATTTTCAATATCATTCTTGTTCGAGGTTCTCAGAAGACACTAGTTACTCTGTTATGAATAAGGGTGTCAATTTATATTTACTTTTCATTTCATTTACGCGTAAATTAAATGATAAATAATTTATATTTATTATAAAGTAAACGGTAAATGACACCCCTACTATTTGATAAGTTTTGTTTTTTGCATGCTATAGAGGTTTCATGTAATTTCTATAAGGTTTTTTGATACGCATGGAATCTACCTCTTTAAGTCCTGCGAAGTCTTGTGAAGTTTTATAAAGTCTTGTGAAGTCTTATGAAGTCTAATGAAGTCTTATAAAGTCTCAAGAAGTCCTACAAAGTCTCTGAAGTCTCATGAAGTCCGTGAAGTCTAACGAAGTCTGTGAAGCCTAATGAAGTCATACGAAGTCTTATGAAGTCTTGCGAAGTCATTTGAAGTCCTATGAAGTCTTCAGAAGTCTTTAGAACTCTATTGAAGTCTTGTGAAAATATGAAGTCACTGTGGCTGAAGTCCGTTGAAGTCTATTGAAGTCTTGAAGTCCGCTGTTTCCCCCTTGCCTTTAACCTTGTTCATTTTCATTTGCAAGGGACATTGAATTCACATTTTTGACAAAAAGAAAAGTCTGACAACATATGACTAGTTAATGAAATATCTATTGCAATAAAACACAAGTTCACTATTGATTATTCTATAATCATTACTAACGTTCGTCAGTGGACTTGCTAAGCTCTTTCTCGTGAAAGTGCCGTTTCTGGAGGGTGTGGGGTATGGATGTGGATGGGTATCGTCTCACTATTTTAAAACACACCCACAACCAGAGCCACACCAACACACAACCACAGCCAAACTAACACATAGCCACAACTCACACCCCAACAATCAGCTATGTACAGAGAGCAAAAAATAGAAAAATAAATGGAGAAGATGGATCAAGAAAAGAAACAGGCATCAATAATAGCAAATTTCCTATTGGTTTTGTTGATTCACCAGATTCATATTCTATTAACTGGTCCGGCTTATAAATTGGAAGTGCAGACTAGCAAAAATTTAGATTTTCTACTATTTGAAGTGAAATTTTATTTAAAAATCTACTATTTTGACGGATAACGTTCAAGAATATCAACAGCTTCTTTCAACATCAACAATCCCTTAAAATTATCCTTTAACAATAGGTAAACCAATGCAATACTAAGGAGAAGTCTGGAAAATTTACTAACAACACTTTTTGACGTTGTGAAATGTTTCTTGTATATTTCTTTTGATTGTAAAAAATGCTCTAATGCTTGAGAATATTTGCTTTGCTTTAATAAACAAATTCCAGTTGAATACAATGTATCGGCGTGCTGTAATTCTGAACTACCTGATTTGTTTATTAATTGATTTAGAAAAAAGTTAAGTGAAGCCTCCAGGTTAAAATCCGTTCGTTGTCTATGCTTAGTATCAGCTTTATCAGCTAGGCTTTCATGTACAGAAGCATCAATGTTTTTATTTTGTTGTCGATATACATAAGCAAGCTTTCTGTGTATCAGACCAATATCTTGGTCATTCGCATTGTCATTCATAATTATTTCCAATGCCATGTTGTAATATGATAACGCATATTTCAAATTATGCTGTTCTACCCACACATCCCCAATATGCCGATAAAGATAACCTCTTAATCGATTTCTCTTATCTAACAATGAATATGCAACACCGTAATAAAATAAAGCTTTATCAAATTCTGACAGGTTAAAGTAATTGTAACCGATAACAATGTGAAGAACTAAACGTTGTGATTCATCAATAGTTCTATTAATAACAAGATTGTCGAGATATTCAGCTATAGATTCATGATCGCCCAAACGAATTAATAAATCATAGAAGTCTAATTGAAACCTTTTCTTCACTAGATCCTCCAGGCGATATGGAATTCCTGTTAACTTTACGGTATATCTAGTAAACATCTTCAAATACTCTGCTTTGAGAAATAAATCCTGACAACATGTTAAAGTATCTAACTGTTCTTTGACACCATCGATGACTTGTTCTATCTGTTCAACGCTTTCGTTACATAGATTAAGCTTAACAATCCATATCGAATCACTTTCTTTTTGAACAGAGTCAATACGAAAAACCGCACCAGCAAAAAATAATGTTTCTTCTTCATCAGGAATATGACCAAGCTCGGTAATATCAGCAAACGGATGAAAAATATTATCACTTGTATTTGAAATAGTAATTTCGAATAACACTCCCAGTTCAGAATCCATGATGAATACACGAGCTACTGTCTCATTACGTGATGTCGAAAACATTGAATTGACTGATATCAAATGTCCAACATTAGCTTGTAAATCCCTCAATTCTTCTCTACTAATGTTTTGTGCTCGGTAAACTTTTGGATAATCTCTTCGAATTTGCTGTTGCACTGCTAATTTCTTTAGTTTTTTATATGCCAGTATGAAAAAGTATCGAAATTTATAAATTAATTCGACATTTCGTTTACGAAACGCTTGATTTACAAGTTTATAAACAAAACTGTTAGGTTTGGTATACCACTTTATTACATTATCTTCTGCACATGTTTTTTCAAAATCATTAATATCATTTAACATGGATGAATTGTCCCTGTATTCTATTCGACACTGCTTGACCATATCTGCCTTTAATTGAGTCATATCTGCATCAGAAGCATCTACTAGATAAGAAATAAATAGCTGATTCCATAGAAATATATACGATTTTCTATCAAGACTCAACAAAGATTGTTCGATTTCAAAGTTTTCCAAAGATGAAATCATTATCGGTAAATAATCTGGATATGCCATTTGCATATCATGACGTAATTTGTTAATTAATTTGTTTATATCTGTAAAATTCTGAATCGACTTTGACCTGTTTTGTCCTTTCACATAAGTATTTCGTAAAAGATAAATCGAGTGAACTTGATGGTACCGATTGAAATACGATACATATTGAGGCAAATCGATCAAAACCAGTAAAACTATCCGTTCAGTCGTAATATTTCCTATGAAACTATCACAAGCTTCAAAATTACCACATATTTGTAACGAATCACAAAATTGGACTAATTCCTCCGGCGAATTTCTGTCTAAAGAAAACCAAACGACAATAAAACCAATGTTTCTCTGTGTTTCATCTGATGACCCATTCATATTAATCTACGCCATAACTCAGTTTCATCAGTTTTCTTCCGACTTTATAGTACCCTTATCTTTGACAAATTTCTTTTTTCCCAAGACAAATATTTACTATGTTACTCATTCGATGTGTTCCCGAATGAAGAACTCATCCTCTATTGCAAAAACAAACGCTATCGTTGATTCAGCGCAATATCTTTTTTAGGGTGGGTGTGGGAACAGATGAAAAGAATACTTACACCCACACCCACATCCAAAAGCGCAACGATGGATATGAATGAAGGTATGAGTCTAGCTTCCATTCGTATTGACTATAACATCAAGCTTTTGAAAAACAAAACTTTCTTGGATTCTCAAACACTATGACAGTACATAATTCAAAAGAAAAAATGTCTTCCATCAAGAAATAAAGTTTGAAGCAAAGATCTGCGAGCGAATAGTAATTTTCGGATGGCAGTAAACTAGAGTATAGAGTAAACTAATACTTGCTAGAGGCAGAAAATGTAAAGGAACTTGTTAACTTTCTTAAATTGAATTTGTTATTTTTTTATAGGTTTTCTTATCTGTTGTTATATGAGTGTATTTAGTTTATTGATGAAGGATTTCTTATCTTTTGTTTCAAGATTTCAGAAAATCTAAGTCTGTATACAAGAATGACAACGAAACGAGAGCATCGTCATTAAAAAAAAAAGAAAAGAATCGAAAAATCGTTATAGAGTAGACATGGACTGGTAGAGGCCACGTGTGTAAGATTGATAACACTTGAAAAATAAAAAAAGTATTTCTTTTTGAGACACTTCTCTTAGCAAAAGAAGAATGAATGATTATTTTAAAGAGTTTATTCATGAATATCATACTATTGAAATTAATATGATAAATAAGCACCGCACTAGAGAGTTTTATTGAAGGATAGTAGGTGATATGTATGATAGATGATTGTAAAAAGTAGACAGATGTATCAATTCTCATATTGCGAAATAATCATTTTTAAATGGATATGTAGGTATGAAAAGTTCCTCAGTTTTATTCGTCAACTATAAGTAAATGAATATTTAGGAAAAAGAATTATTTGATAATTGTTTGATAATCGATTGTTGAATAATAATAAAAAAAAAATAACACTCATAGGAAGATTGTATATAATCTTATAAAAATTTTTCTATCAGTCTTTCAATCATCTTTTCTGATGAAATCATACTATACGATTGATGATATTTGCATGATCTTATAGAATAATATATGTATATGATCTATCCAAGGTTTCATACAATATTCCATACTTGATCGTTTCCTCTATTTACAAAAAAAGATGATTTTCAAATTGCTAGCAAAAGAGATCTCTTTTTTATCAATTGTAGCTTTCTATCTACAAGAAACATTCGTCTTCATAATATGCTAGATGATAAATATCGATGAATTTGATGATATGCAATAAAATTCAATTAACAATTTTTAAAAAAAGTAGATTATGCAACATAAAATGACAATTGAAGTTGTTATTGGGAGTAGCAATCTAAAAAAAAGATTTGAAAAATCTCATTTGAATACAATATTTGTTAATACTTATGCATAGATAAATAAAGGTATTGCTATTATCGATGAAAATAAGTTTGATTCATTGTTACATAAATGTTTGATGTAAATATGGACATGAGTGTCTGTGTCATATAAACTACCCCTCAAACCATATGCACACTTATAACCAGATTTTTTAAAATCTTATCATATTCTAAGTTGAGAACAAATAAATCAACAATTAATTATATCTTTTAGTAGTATCTATGTTGCAGAGGAAAAAGAATTTTTACGAAACCAACAAGCTCCTCTGAAAAAAATTGAAAATAAATTTTCATATTGCTACTCTCCAATGGTAACTGGAGTTGCCAAATTACTTTGCATATATGAAATCACAGCAGATTGATCTGCCTATACGATTGATCCGCTAAAGACGAGAATATTCAGTTTCAATAATTGTTTTACTAGTGAGTGTTCAGGAAGTACTATGAAAATTAAAGAATTACCAATATACTTTATCTTTACTTTCATATTTCTAAAAAAACCATTAAAATTAAATGAAAACACCAATATCAATTTTCAAAGAAGAACGATTATTATCATATTTTGTTCAATTCAACATTGTTATGCAAATTGTCTTCAATAAAAAGCAGAAATAGTTTAGAATAAAAAAAAGCTTGATTCTTTTGTATTCAATCATTAAAATGAATTCAAATAATAACATAAACAGTCTAAATAGAACAAAATCTACTTCGATTTAATCAAATTCATTTAGTTATTTGAGAGTTGATTTTTGCAAGAGATCTATTTTCTTCAATACTAAAACATTAACATCTAAACTTAAAACAGCATGTGACTGTCTTGCTTGTTCCAGAAACATCTACATTCTCGTCCTCAAAATTTCATTTACATATAGTAAAATTCACCAAACAAGTACAAAAAGGAAATTTGAATACTCTTTCAGTGAGTTTTTTTTTTGAATCAATTATCTGATTCAGACGAACTTAATACAAAATCTTTCGTATTTGAAATATTAATGAAGAAATTTGTTTATAAAACGAGACTTTCAAATGAATACATTCGCTTGAATTAAGTTCACTTCAGTAGACATTAAAATTCTCTAATAATACACAAAAATAAATAATTTCGATTTATAAAATGATATCAATACAACTGACTATGTTATAATCATCTAAGACATTTTGTTGAATATATGTCGATTGACTCACTCAGTTGATCATCGAGTTCGTTTTCAGATATAGAGAGCGTAGATTAGTTCGTTTTGTTTCATGAATTGTAACCAGTTTAATTGTTAAAAAGGAATCTGATGATTGAATTAGATTTTCGTGAGAAGAACTACTGAGTGATTCTTTTGTTTCATACCGACAGCTATTTCTTGCTCAACTTCACTTAAAATATTGAAATTCAAAATAATTGTTAACGCTAAAAAAAAAGAATTTGGATTGATTATCAGACTATTGAAAGTCTTGTAGAGTAAGAGATAATGAAATATTTAAAGATCGAATTTTTATAGACTTCTTCATGCTTAGCTAAAAATAAAAATGATCAATGAAAAATAAATTTTTGTTCGAAGAACAAAAATGAAAGATAGCAGTGATAAACTTTCTATTCAACGGTTTATTTTCTTCAGTTTCCATCGACTTCTCAACCAACTAATCTAAGAGACAATTTTCTTAAAGAAGATTTTCAAAGAAAAAGAACCCAATTCTACAAGAAAAATTTCTTAAAATTAATATCCTTTGTAGATTATTAGTATAGTTATGAAAATATTCATTTTACTATAGAAACAACAACATCGGGAAGGTACATCATTGAAAAACAAAATTCAATTATCATTAAATCGAAAATGAACATAGCAAAACTAAAATAGTAAGTAAATTATATGTAGATAATCATCATACAATAGTATGGTGAGATAGTAAAATAATTGGAGAAATTAATACAAAAGGGTGTGGGTGTGGGTGTGGGTGAGTGTGGGCATGGGTATGGAGTAGTTATGGTGTGCGTTACGATGTCGGTGGGTGTGAGATTAGGTATGAATAAGTTTCAATCAAATGTACCCAAGCTACATCTGCCCACGCCCACGCCCACACTCACACCCACACCACCCATCCTTACCCAAACCGTTATAATGCACATTTACTTCTAAAAATCTTTCTCATTTTATTTTTCGTCATGAAAGATTTCAATAAGCTTTTTGTTACATAGAAAATCTACATCAATAATATCATATATGTCAACTGACAATCGGAAATGTCACCTGTCGTTGGCAATCATTCATCAATAGAGTATTTGATGGTAATATCAGACAGAAAAAATAATCAGCAAATGCAAATAGATGAAGTACAAAAACAAAGCTTTTACATTATTGCTTGTCATGATGCTCTTAAAGCTACTTTGAAATCGAATAGAAAATCATTTTCATTTAATCTACATATTCTTCATCTACAAAAATGACTCTCAGGTTTACATTAGGATGTTGATATTGTTGAAACAAACATTCTGAAACTCAAACGATCGCATTCACTTTAATGACAATTATGAATAATCGTCACGTGATGTGCATAGTGCTGCATAGATAATTGAATAAATATTCATGTATATTGTTGGTGATTAAA